GTTTTTTTTTTACTTTTGCTCCCGATCAACAATCAAATATTTTCTCTTGAATTATGAATAACACGAATGGATTGAAATATTTAATTAAATTATCTCAAAATAAACCTTCATTTCGGTGCAATATTGAAATTAGCTTGAATTCTTCATAACTTCTGAATAGTGGGTGACTCAACGGGTCGTCTAGTATTACATGTTGCTTTCGACTGAATATTTCATGATGAAGCATTTTCAGGGCTTATCTCGAACGTTCTCTTTAAACTTTCTGCCGATACTATTCTTCTTCTTTAACTTGCACGTTTGTCGTGAATGCAATTGTAAATTAAATACAAAGTGATTAACCTAGACCTGTTTTTCGCATTGCAAATAGCCTGTCTTTACTACTACTACTACTGCTATAGTAACACCAATATCACCACAGCAATAATTCTCACAAGCTACCAGATCAGTTGTATTATTCGTGTCTCCCCTCTAAAGGTCCAGCAGAAAACGGTTTCTATATAACGACGCTAAAATCTGAGGTTCGATCCCCGTAGAACACTTGTTAATAAACAACAAAAAATAAGTACTGCTTGTAATTTTTTCTGTCTAAGTCAGTATAATTTACTAAACATATAAACCTCACTTAAGTATTCAATTATTTCATCCATTTACCTCCAGCGTTATTTTATCCACTGTTCGCATTTCAAACTCGAATAAACTTACCTCACCACCTGGTGTCGCGATCAGAAGCGTATCCTTGATTATTCCAACCTCTGGGATCATAATCTTGATCAGCCTCAACATAACGATGACTGTTATTCGGCCGATAGTCGTTTCCGCGGTAGAGGGGATTAGAGGGTCTCATCTCTACTTCATCATACTGGGGTCTTCTCTGTGGTTGAAAGTTGGTGTGCTCTGACTGGCCAAGACGGGTGTTTGGTTTTGTTGGTGGCTGGACTAACATGCGTCGCTTAATTAAAGAATAGAAAAAAAATCCAGAATTGATATGATAATTGGTATATAACTTTTGGACATAATAACCTCATGCACAAGGGTTGGATATATATTTTGTGTAATGTTTATTCCCACCTTACGGCCCACCCCTGAGTAGTCAGGAAATTTTCTGGGACCCGTATTTAATTGGTGAGAGGAAAGGTTACTATTCTAATATATTTCAGTAATATATAGTATATTATATATATAATATAATATATTTCAGCCTAATAGTTGCTAGCGCAGATAGCCTTCGTGTAGCTTTGCGAGAAATTCAAAACAAACCGATCCTTTTCCATTCTGGAAAACCTTTGGTATTTTAAAAGGAAATATTCAAATAGAACAGCAAATCATTCGCATTGGTTTCAGCAACGGGTTTTGGTTTTGTTTGTTCAACAACATATTAGGATCAGTATTTTTTAAATGAAACTTTATGTGTCTTATTCTAAGGCCGACCAGTGAGTCGCGACACCTACAGTTTGTAAACCGCCGAAATTATTTTACAGAATACAATTTCGCTCCCCCAGTAGCACATCGGTATGTCTGCGGACTTACAACGCTAGAATCCGGGTTTTGATACCCGTGGTGGGCAGAGCACAGATAGCCCATTGTGTAGCTTTATGCTTAATTACAAACAAACAGAATATAATTTATTCATGTCTTATAGAACTGAGCCAGGTGGTTAGGGGGGACTCGACTCCCAATCTGAAGGTCGTGGGTTCGAATCTTCGTCCCACCAAGCATGCTCGCCCTTTCAGCCGTGGGGGCGTTATAATGTTTCGGTCAATCCCACTTTTTGTTGGTAAAAGAGTAGCCCAAAAGTTGGCGGTGGGTGGTGAGGACTAGCTGTCTTCCCTCTAGTCTTTCTCTGCTAAAGTAGGTACAGACAGCCCTCGTGTAGCTTTGCGCGAAATTCAAAACAAGCCAAATCTTATAGAACTGAATATTTTTACCTGGAAAGATGCGACCAATGACTCTTAATAAGCACCCATTGCGTATGTATAAAGAAACTGTGTCGAAAATTAACTTTGATGGTATAGGGTTAAATGCTGGGAAGATACAGTCGACTAACTGCCTAGTCAGTTCATCACTTTGTTTAATTATAAACTGCCTAGCCAATTCATCACTTTGTTTAATTATACACTCCCTAGCCAGTTCATCATTGTATTTAATTATACACTCCCTAGCCAGTTCATCACTTTGTTTAATTATACACTCCCTAGCCAGTTCATCATTGTATTTAATTATACACTGCCTAGCCAGTTCATCACTTTGTTTAATTATACACTCCCTAGCCAGTTCATCACTTTGTTTAATTATACACTGCCTAGCAAGTGCATCACCGTGTTTAATCATACACTTCCTAGCCAGTTCATCATTGTATTTAATTATACACTGCCTAGCCAGTTCATCACTTTGTTTAATTATACACTGCCTAGCCAGTTCATCACCGTGTTTAATTATACACTGCCTAGCAAGTTCATCACTTTGTTTAATTATACACTTCCTAGCCAGTTCATCATTGTATTTAATTATACACTGCCTAGCAAGTTCATCACTTTGTTTAATTATACACTCCCTAGCCAGTTCATCATTGTATTTAATTATGCACCGCTTAGCAAGTTCATCACTTTGTTTAATTATACACTGCCTAGCCAGTTCATCACTTTGTTTAATTATAAACTGCCTAGCTAATTCATCATTGTGTTTAATTATACACTGCCTGTTTATTTGTATAGTTTAGCCAGCTGTTTCTTTGTTTAGTTTAGCCAGCTGTTTCTTTGTTTAGTTGTATGGAACAGCTGGCTAAACTATACAAGTAAATACAAAGTTTGGCCAGCTGTTTCCGTATTTACTTGTATAGTCTAGCCAGCTGTTTCTGTATTTACTTGTATAGTTTAGCCAGCTGTTCCTGTATTTACTTGTATAGTTTAGCCAGCTGTTCCTGTATTTACTTGTATAGTTTATCCAGCTGTTTCTGTATTTACTTGTATAGGTTACCCAGCTGTTCCTGTATTTACTTGTATAGTTTAGCCAGCTGTTCCTGTATTTACTTGTATAGTTTAGCCAGCTGTTCCTGTA